GCCCGGCCCCAGCTGGGGAGGACAGGGGAGACAGGCTGGTCACTAGCTGTCACGGCGGCCACCGCCAGGATGACAGCCCACCCAGAAGTTACCCAGGTCAAGCCACAGGAAGAGGAATCTCTCCCCACTGCAACCAGTCCCACCTGCCTGGCTGTTTCTCCGCTGCCCGAGTCTGACATGATTACAGTTCTGTATTTTTGTTGTAATTGTTTAAGGTTTTTGCCACAGGGCATGTGCCCTTGCCAGAGAGAGAGAGAGAAAGAGACAGAGAGAGGAAAAGTGAGAAATCACCCCGAGGAGAGATGGCCACACTGCAATCCCTTCTCCACTCTCCCGGGATTTTGGGCACACATGCCCAGTATGATTTTCAATCTGCGGGTCCAGGACCCAAAGTGCAATTGGTCATGTGGGAGTCCAATCTGCGGATCCAGGACCCAAAGTGCAATTGGTCATGTGGGAGTCCAGCACCCCGACCACAACACCACCTGCTGGCCCTATGTGTATGTGTATATATATATTTTTTTTTTCTTTTGTAAAGAATAATTTTATTATTATTATTAAATTTGATGGGGGTTGGGGGAGATGAGTGAAAAAGCAAGCTGCCACATCTGTGATTCAAACTGCGGTCAACCACGTGGGATTCCAGCACCTTAGTCAGCACTCCACCTGCTGGCCCCTGTATATTTTTCATAACGAACCCTTATGCACACGCCGAGGTCCATTACTTACTGTGAAATGCATGAAAAGTCAGCCGGATGAAAGGGTGGGCAGACAGGCGGAAAGGCAACCCCAGCGAACTGTGACTAGCACAGTCTGATGGTAGGAACAGGAGCGCCCCCTGTCTGCGCCTTTCAACTGTTCTGCTTGGCTTTTCAAAAGATTGAAGAATGTCTGTAACTTTTTTTCCCCTTCATTTACCAAAAGGAGCACGTACTCAATGAAAAAAGAGGGAGAACGCACCGTAGAATGGGGCATGCATGCACATGCACCCAGTATGTTTTTCAAACTGATGGGCCGGGACTCGAACCATGCAGTTGGCCGCTTGCGGTCTGGCTCACCCAGCACAGACTAGCATAACCCGAGCTGCTGTGTGGGGTGGCCTCATGCACCACAGCCTTTTCCATCTACCCAGAGGGAAGATGGTTCTGACCAGCCCATAGGTGAGGACACAGTACTGAGTGCAAATCTTGGCCGATACCCTCCCTACCCACCTTCCATGTGGTGTATGGATACACACATACAGACATGGGCAGCAATTTCTCCTTCTCCTTCCAGGATATTGTCTCCCTGTTTCCTTTTTATTATCTAGCTCCCAAAGATTTTTGCTTTAGGGCATGTGGGCTCGCCAGAGAGACAGAGACAGAGAGAGAGAAAGTGAGAAAGTGGGATGGCCATGACAATCTCTCTTCTTCCATTCTCCTCTTGGGATTTTGGGCATGCATACACACTGCCTGGTATGAGTTTTAAGCTGTCAGATCTGGGACTCGAACCATGGTCGGCCATATGGCAGTCCTGCACCTTAAGCACTACACCACCTGCAGGCCTTCCTACTGCCTGATCCTCCTGCTTCAGCCTACCAAGTAGCTGGACTACAGGTACATGCCACTTTGCCTGACTTTTTAGGGTGAGCTGGGTCTTGAACCTGGGCCTCCAACATTGTGGGGCTGAATAGCAGTACCTCCTGCGGCTGGGCCTATACAGCAGTTCTGACAGCAGAAATGGTTCATGCAATAGACAAGTGTTTAAGAGCAGCTTGTGTTTGTTCCCAACAGTGCACCATAAATATCCTTTTAGGATTGGGGCCAGCAGGTGGCACAGTGGTTACGTCACTTGGACTCCCACATGGTTGACCATGGTTCGAGTCCCAGACCTGGTGGCTTGAAAATCACACTGGGTGTGTAGACGTGCATGCCCAAGACCCCAAAGGAGAATAGAGGAGAAGGGATTGCGGAATGGCCATCCTCTCTGGGGTAGGGGGTGATTTATCCCTTTCCCTCTCACCATCTCTGTCTGTCTCTCTTCGATGAGTGCACGCGCCCTATGGCAAAAAAAAAAAACCTCTTAAAAAAAAAAGAAAGTCCTTCTGTGATTTGTCTTGTCTTGGGCAATGTGACAGCAGAAGCACTTCCCCAGCTCAGCGCCAAGACAGTGGAATACACGTGTGTGTGCTTGTGCACACACAGACACACACACACGCACACCAACACCCAAGAGGAAAGAAGAAACAGGCCCCTGGGAGGGGCAGCCCTAAAGCCTCATTCTCTAGAACTGCCCGGGCATGGATAATGAAAGGGACCCTATTAAACCCATGAAGAGTGTCAACAAAATTTGCAGAGGGCATTCCCCCTTTCAGAAAAACAAACTCCAAGCCCGGCTTAGCTGTCTCCTTGTGGGTGTGGCTAGTGAGAAGCCAGGACCCTGCTGTCAGCTAATTTACAGGTCAGCTGACAGTCCGTTTAAGACTCAGATGCCTCTGGAGAAAGACGTGGGTGACTCAGTCCCCACCAATGCCAGGCATCTTTCAGCTTCACAGTGTTCAAATGCTTTCCCACGGGGAGGCTTCAAAACCACAGCTCCCTCCCCACCTTACGGGGTTGTCGGGGTTGTTGGAAAAGTCATGCTGCATTTTTGCATAGAAAACGACGTCATGATTTTTCTGCCAACCCAGTCATTTTTTCTTTGTTGATCTCTGAATTCAAGTCCTTTGGGAGAGAGACCGGTGATGGGGACTGCCAGCTTTGCTGTGTGCAATATTTTTAAATGGAAAAAAAACTCCCCCAGGCCTCGATTTCTGTCCTTAGAGAATCTGGACTGTTGGCCACAAGGTCCTCCCGAATGGCCTGGTACCTTCCTGGCCCTGGTCTGTGTTTTCCACCCTTAGAACACTTTCTCAGGATCAGCAGATGGTGTAATGGTTATGTTGCCGGACTCCCATGTAGTTGACCGTGGTTCAAGTCCTGAACCTGGCAGCTTGAAACTCACACCGGGCGCGTGTGTGTGCGTGCCCAAGATCCTGAGAGGAGAATGGAGGAGAAGGGATTGTGGTGTGGCCATCCCCTCTGGGGGGTGATTTCTCACTTTCTGTCTCTCTGTTTATCTCTGTCTCTCCAGCGGGCACATGCACCCTATTGCAAAAACCTCTCTGTTGGGATCAGCAGGTGTTGTGGTGGTTAAAATGCTAGACACTCCCCCATGGCCAACTGCAGTTCAAGTCTGGGACCTGGCGGCTTGCTTTCTCACTTTCCCTCTCTCTTTCTATCTCTGTCTCTCTCTATGGTCAAATTAAAATGAATGAATGAATGAATAAAATTAAATAAATAGTTCTTTAAAAAAAAGAAACTTTCTCAAGAGGAGGCCTTGCACTACCTGCTTTGGCCACTAGGGGCTTGTTAAAAGTGCAGATTCCGGGACCACCCTGTGGCATAGTGGTTAAAGGAGCCAGATCTCACACGGCTGATGATATAGTTTGAGTCCCAGCCTGACGGCTTGAAAATTACACTGGGTGCCCATGTCTGTGTGCCCAAAATCCTAAGGAAGGAGAAACAGAGGAGAAGAGATTGTGGTATGACCATTCCCCATGGGGGTGGGGGTGAGGGTGCTGCGCTTTCTCCTTCTCTGTCTCCCTGTCTCTCTCTGGTGAGCCAGAATGCCCTCTGGCAAAACAAAAACTGAAAAATAAAATAAATGCAGGCCTCAGCGTGGGCTGGTCACGTGGTGATTAAGGCACCGGACTCCCACATGGCTGACTGCAGTTCAAGTCCTGGACCAGATGGCTTGTTTTCTCACTTTCTCTCTCTCTGGTCAAAGTTAAGTGAATAAATAAATAAACATTAAATCATTCTTTTAAAAATAAATAAATAAACGCAGGCCAGCCAGGTGGTTAAGGTGACTCCATCACCCATGGCTGACTACACAGCTGGGAGTCCTGGATCCAGCAGCTTGAGAAAGACACAGGGCACATGTGTGTGTGGGCCCCAAATCCAAAAAGAATGTAAAAACGGAGGAAAAGGGATTGCAGCATGACCACCCCCATGGAGGGGATGCACTTTCTGACTCCCCCCCACCCTACCCCTATCTCCCATGAGTGCCCTCTGGCAAATTAAAAAAAAAAAAAAATGCAGATTCCCAAACAATGTCCCTAGGAAATTCTCAGGCCGCCCATGAGGACCTCCAGGTCTGCGGGGCTCCCCCGTCTTCCATAGCAAGGAACTTGATTCTGTCCTGCCCTGTGGGTAGCGCTGGGCCTTGTGTTCTGCGGGGTCATTACCCATGTGTGCTTATCCAGGGGCTTAGGAGGTGTCATCAGTCCCATATTACAGGTGGATACACTGAGGCTCACAAATGTCCCACCTGGGCCCTCTAGCAAAAACCTCTCAAAAAGAAAAGAAAAGAAATGTCCCACCTCGCTCTGAGTCCCCTAGCAAGAGACTGAAATGGCAGGGCCAGGACCAAACCCAGGGTCTTCTTACCTTCCCCACCCCCAAGCTACGTCTCAGTTACTCTGCGAACTTGGTGAGGAATTTTAAACCCTATATGCAAATAGCTTTCAAAAGATTCTGTACAATGCATAGGAGCTGACAGGAACTCTGGGAAGTCTGAACCAGGGAACTGTGAGTGGTCCCCCGAGGACAGCGCTCCACCAGGTCCTTGTGGTAGCATCGGGCCACTTACCTTCACGTCTGCGTGGCTCCGGGACACCTGGAGAAGGCAGCCCAGTCCCACGCCCACCAGGATGTCTGCAGCCCAGCTCAGGAAGCTTCGCCAGAACAGTCCCAACAAGCCAGCCCTGCAGCCCGTCCCTCCTAGTAGGTGTGACCCTGGGATTTGGGGCCCATGGCAAGAAGACATGTCCCCCTCTGTCCCACCCCCAGGAAAAAAAAAAAAAAACAACCCTATCTGAAACCTATCCAGTTTAGCACCTCTAGAAAGGGAGAGTCAAGGGGACCAGCAGATGGCATAATGTTTACATTGCTGGACTCCGACGTAGTTGACTGTGGTTCGAGTCCTGGACCTGGCGGCTTAAATTCACGCTGGGTGTGTGCCCAAAATCCCGAAAGGAAAATGGAGGAGAAGCGATTGTGGTGTGTCCATCGCCCCAGGGAGTGATTCCTAACTTTCTGTCTCTCTGTCTCTGTCTCTCCAGTGAGCACACACGCAAAAATCTCTATAAAAAATATTTTTAGAAAAAGGGAGTGTCAAATGTATGTTTTGCTCTTAGTCTGTCAGGATCGAATGAAGTGACAGAAATGCTTGGCACCTGCAGGCACCCAGGAGCTGGAGAAACAGGCCAGGTGAGTTCAGCCACAGCTGTGGGGACACAACACCTGACTGAAGGCCATCTCCAGGGCTGTTCGTGGCTTCCTCCTTCCCAGCCGACCTGGGAGGTCAGGAGAGGCCACAGTCCCAAAGCCAGGAGCAGGTTTCGGTGGGTACAGAAGGGCCACAGAGGGTCCTGCTCAGCCTGGGAGTGACACGTGGCAGGTGTGCTGTTTGGTGCCCACCAGTGCAGGCCATGCCCGCACCACGGCTCACCTGCAGGCCATGCTGTGGAGGTGGGTGAGAGCTGCACTCCTGGAGCTCTGTTCTAACACTGCTTCCATGAGCTCCCCATCACAGCCAGCCACTGCTGGCTGAATGTCGACCAGGTGCCGGGCACTGTCCCAGGTCCGTCTTCCATGTTTAGCTCAACTCATTTCTTTCCTCTAAATTATCATTATTTTTTATTTATTATTATTTTTTAAATTTGCTATAGGGCACGTGTGCTCACTAGAGAGAGAATGAGTGAGAGAGAGAGAAAGTGTGAAATCAAACCACGAGGTCCAGGATTCAAACCATAGTCCAGCCACGAGGGAGTCCAGTGCCTTAACCACCACGGCACCTGCTGGCCCCTTTTCTAAATTATTATTTAATTCCATTTGTGATTATTTTTTAAAATTTGACCAGAGAGAGACAGAAAGAGAGAGAAAGGGAAAATAAGAAACTAAGTCATGGGGCCAGCAGGCAGGATGGTGGATAAGGGCGCTGGATTCCCACATGGCCGACCATGGTTCAAGTCCCGGACCTGGTAGCTTGCTTGCTCGCTTTCCCTTTCTCTCTCTTTCTCTGGTGGTCAAATAAAAAAAAAAAAAAAACCTAACAATAACAAATGGATTAAAAAAAATAAATACTTCTTTAAAAAAAAAAAAGAAAGAAAGAAAGAAAGAAACTAAGTCACCAGGCCCAGGACTCAGCCATGTGGGAGTCCAGTGCCTTAACAACACCACCTGCCGGCCCCTAGAGCTCAACTCATTTTTTATCCACGGCAGAGATCACCAGGATTCATGGTGGTTAAGGCGCTGGACTCCCATGTGGTCGACCACAGTTCAAGTAGTGGACCTGGCGGCTTGCTTTCTCTCTCTCATAACCACATGTGCCCTATAGCAAAATAAAAAAAATAATAACAATAAATAAAATTAAATAAATAATTCTTAAAAAGAGAAAAGGTCTGCCAACCCTTCCCGCAAACCACGGCATGGCCCTGTGGATGGGAGGGAGAAGTGGGTCTTCCCCGGGACACATGGTGACCATCTGTTGATGGCCCTGAGAGCAATGGCCGCTGCCTCCCCCCCCATCAGATGCTTGCCAGGTGCCAGGGACTTCATTCACCTCACTCAGTCCTCACCACCCTCCTCTAAGGTAAGCACCCTCAATATCCCCGTTTAACAGAGGGGGAGCCTGAGGCTCAAACAGCCACATCATCAAGAGCCAATTCGGAGGGTGGGACAGGACCACTCAGAGCCCGTGACAATGGCGTGGAGGCCCACGGCATTTCCACAAAGGATACTGAAGATGATGCCACCGAAGCAGGCCGAGAAGGCCATCCGCGGGTAGCCCTGACGGGCCAGCGTGAAGTCTGAGAAGACGTCTGCATGGAGACAAGAGGGCCTTGAGCGGCGGCGAGCAGCTTCGCCGGCCCCCGGGCCCTCCTCACTCTGTCATTCTCACCACGGGCACTCGGTCAACAAACACTGACCCTAGCTGGCTGGGCGCTGTGGGGGGCCATAGCATCCTATAAGACCCAATTCCCTCTTTAATTCCTTTCACCCGGGGACAAGCAGATAGCATAATGGTTACGTGGCTGGACCCCCACATAGTCAATCACAGTTCGAATCCCAGACCCAGCTGCTTAAACTCATGCCAGGTGTATATGCGTGTGTGCCCAAAATCCCAAGGGGAGGATAGAGAGAAAGGATTGCAGCGTGGCCATCTCCCCTGGGGGCATGATTTCTCGCTTTCTGTCTCTCTGTCTCTGTCTCTCTGGCAAGCTCATATATCCTACAGCAAAATCTAAAAAAAGATGAACAATTCCTTTCACCCCGCTACCAGGAGCAACTTTGTGGGTGAGGTATGACATGCTGCTACTCATTCTTCACCCGAGTCCCAACGGCAGCTCACAGGGCACCTCTGTGTGAGTTAGGACGAGGGGAGCTAGGATTTCGCCCCAGCCCCATCTGCATGTGCTCGTGCAATGCACACGGCAGCTCACAGGGCACCTCTGTGTGAGTTAGGACGAGGGGAGCTAGGATTTCGCCCCAGCCCCATCTGCATGTGCTCGTGCAATGCACAACCCGGCCCACCTCACCTGGCTGCTGGAAGTAGGGAGGTCTGTGTGTATGCATGCACATCTGCATGCCTGTATTTATCGCACACCCATGGACACGTTAGCCGTGGCTGGCTGCAGCGGGCTCCATTCCTGCCTGAACTCTGGGGAGCCCCAAGTGTCCACACATCCCAGTGGGGAAGAGAGAGCAGCCTTTAGAATTTCCAGATCCAGCTACCGTCTAGGCCCTGTCACCCCGATGCCCGTGACAGTCACTCCAAAGTGACAGTGCGGGCTGAGCACACAGACACACAGCAGACCCCGCGTGCCCCTGTCCACGTGCAGCTCAGGCTGAAGAGCCAAACACCCCGACGCCCACATCCCGACAGGCCCCAAGTCACCTCCGATGCTGTTGCCCCAGGCGAGCAGGGTGAGCCCCAGGACGGTGTTGCTCAGCCGGAAGACCACGCCCAGGGACCGCAGGATGTTCACCACCTCCGTGGCAGCTGCATTGATCCACAGGGCGCTGGTCAGAAAGCCCAGGAAAGCGAAGAGCTGGGGAAGGAACGGGGTGTTGGATTGGGCAAGCCGACCCCAGACTCAGTTCCTCCTCTGTACAACGAGGTGAGGACAGTGTCGACCTCAGGAGGACATTGAGGGAGGGGGGAGCTCAATGTTATCACAGCGGGAAAGGGTGCATGACCACGCTCATCAGATTTCCAGCATGTGAACCAGATAACACTCATCACCCCGGAAAGTAACCCCACAGCCATGCCGCCTCCTCACCCACCCCTTCTAGTCCTGGCCAACCACTTGTCTATGAAGCTGCCTGCCATGGGCACTTCCTGTGCATGGGATCACGGTCTATGTGGTGGGTCAGCAGGTGATGCGGAGGTTCAGGTGGCTGGATCCCATGAGACCCGCAGATGGCATAATGGTTATGTCACCGGACTCCCACGTAGTCGACCAAGGTTCGAGTCCCAGTCCTGGAGGCTTAAAACTCATGCCGGACGCATGTGCATGCCCAAGATCCCAGGAGGAGAATGGGGAAGGGATTGTGGCATGGCCATACCCCCTAGGGGAGGTGATTTCTTGCTTTCATTCTCTCTGTCTCTCACTGTCTCTCTGGCAAGTGTATGTGCCCTATAGCAAAAATCTCTCTCTAAAAACATAAAACAAGAAAAACAGAAAGGCAGCTGGACCCCACATGGCTGACTGTGCAGCTCAAGTCCCAGACCAGGCAGCCTGAAAACCATGCCAGGCATGTGTGTGGGCATGCCTAAATTCCAGAGAGGAGAACGGATGAGAAGGGACTGCGGTGTGGCCATCCCCCCTGGGGGAGGTGTTTTCTCACTTTTCCTCTCTCTCTTTCTCTCTCTCGCTCTCGCCCTTTCTATCTGAGATGCATGCCCTCCAGCAAACAGAAAAGAAAAGCTACACGTGGAGTTCAAACTTGTTTGCACCAAAAGAAACTCAGACTTTAATCCCATTTTCCACAAGCTTTCTGAAGTCCCCTGGTATTAGTCAATCATAAAAGGGAAGGAAGCATCAACACATGCTACAACATGGATGAGCCTTGAAAACAGGCCAAGGAAATGAAGCCAGACACAGAAACCACATGTTGTAAGAAATGTCCATGACACGCAGAGCCACAGAGACAGGAAGCTGGAAGGAGACTGTCAGGCCCTGGGGCTGGGGAGAAGGGAAGGGACAGCTAATGGGTGTGGGGTTTCTCTGGGGATGATGAAAATGTTCTACAGTGGATTGTGGGAAGACAGCACAAATCTGTGAATAAATAAAACACATTCCATTGTTGGGGCCAGCAGGTGGCATAGTGGTTAAGGCGCTGGACTCCCACATGGCTGATCATGGTTTGAGCCCTGGACCCAGAGGTTCGAAACTTATGCAGGGCACATGTACGAACATGCCCAAAATTGTGAGAGGAGAATGGAGAAGGGATAGCGGCATGGTATCCCCCATAGTGGGTGATTTCTTGCTTTCTGTCTCTCTGTCTCTGTCTTCCTAGTGAGTGCAAATGCCCAATGGCAAAAGTCTATTAAGAAAAAAAAAGAAAAAAGAAAAAAGGGACCAGCAAATGATGTAATGGTTATGTCACTGGACTCCCACATGGCTGAGCGTGGTTCAAGTCCGAGACCCAGCGGCGTGAAACTCACGCAGGGCACGTGGGCATGCCCAAAATTCCAAGAGAAAAATGGAGGAGAAAGGATTGTGGTGTGGCCATCCCCTGCAGCAGGGTGATTTCTCACTTTCTGTCTCTGCCTCTATCTTTCCAGCAAGTGCACATACCCTATAGCAAAAATCTCTCTTAAAAAAAAAAAGAAAACAGTTAAATGACATACTTTAAATGGGTACATTTCTTTTCTAAAAAAATTTAAGAATAAATGGGTGAATTACATCTCAATAAAATATTAGGTCGTAGAAACATCATGACATATTTTTCCATGTGTTCCTATGCATAAAAAATGTGTAATATATCACACAAAGGTTGATTTCTTTTTTTTTTTTTTTAAGAGGTTTTCACAACCACAAAGGTTGATTTCTAAAAAAAAATATTAAAACAGTAAAGTATTGGAAACCAGCAGTTAGCGTAATGGCTATGTCGCTGGATTCCCACATAGCTGACTGCGGTTCACGTCCCGGACCCGGTGGCTTAAAACTCACGCCAGGCACGTGTGCGTGCATGCCCAAGATCCCAAGAGGAGAATGGAGGAGAAGGGATTGCGGCGTGACCATCCCCTCTGGGGGGTGATTTCTCGCTTTCTGTCTCTATGTCTCTCTGTCTGTCTGGCGAGCGCACGCGCCCTGTAGCGAAAACCTCTCAAAAAAAATAAATAAATAAATAAAGTATTTATTTTGCCTAAAAAAAAAAAAATGTGTAGTGACTTTTCTGATGACCCAATAAAACTGTTAACAAACAAAAAAAGAATGCTAAACAGGTACAAGTTCATTAAAAGGGGCTCTAAGTTCAGCACCCCAGTCGTCGTGGAAAGTGGTTACTGCTAAACTCTTCCCGAGGCGCGGACAGGATACTGCCCTGGGCTCCAGGGCCCGCTCAGCAGCCCTCCCAGCTGGGATACTCACCCAGTGCAGCCGGGGGGGCTCATTGTTGGACGTGGAAAAAAAAGTCACCGAAGCCACGCCCGTTCCCACAGTCACCACCACGGCCCAGACAGGAACGAGGCCACCTATCTCATAGATGCCATCTGCAGGGGACAAGAAAGGGAGCTGGGACTCTCCACGGTGGTAGCTCAGCACCAACTCCTGGCGGCCCCCTGAATGGCTGAGGAGGTCCGGGGGATGAGATCCCTAGATAAAACCCACTTATAATGGATCGTCTGGATATAGGTCTAAGTGCCCAGTGCCATTCTAAGCACTTCAAGGGAACAAAGAAATTTAAAAACACAGCCGTCCTCCAACCCTGGGGTCAGCAGGTGGTAGGATGGTTAAAGTGCTGGATTCCCACATGGCTGATTGCAGTTCAAGTCCTGGATCCAGGAGTTTTAAACTCATGCCAGGCACATGTACATGCCCCAAATCCCAAAAGGACAATGGAGGAGAAAGGGTTGTGGCATGGCCACCACCAGTACCTCACCCCTGGGAGTGACTTCTCACTTTCCCTCTCACTGTCTCTGTCTCTCTGGCGAACACACGTGCTCTATAGCAAAAATCTCTCAAAAAATAAAAATAAATAAACGAACAGCGGGACCAGCAGATGGCATAATGGTTATGTTGCTGGACTCCCTCGTAGTTGACAATGGTTTGAGTCCTGAACCCGGCAATTTAAAACTCATGCCGGGCACGTGTGTGCGTGCCCAAGATCCCGAGAGCAGAATGGAGAAGGGATTGTGGCGTAGCCGTCCCTCCAGGGGGGTGATTTCTCACTTTCTGTCTCTCTCTCTCTATATCTCTCCGGTGATCACATATCCCTATAGAAAAATCTCTCTCTCTAAAAAAAATTAACTTAAATAAATAAATAAAAATAAAAACACAGCCCCCTGTCCTCCAGTGAGTCGCATTTGAAGGAAATGACAGACGCGTGTAAAGCAGACCCTCTCCAGCCTGTGGAACTGGGGTGGGAAGGGCAAAGACTGCTCACCACTACCTCATCCCACCTCCATGGCAGACATCACTAATCAACCACCATGCAGGTGTCCAAATGAGTTTCAAGGCAGCAACCTCCAGCCAGACATTACTAATGAATGGCGCTATCCCAGGAGATGAACCTGATAGTCACACCCAATCTTACCCACTGACTCGAGCCCACACTTACTCTTTCGGTAAGTCTATTCCACACACCAATATGCTAATAAGTGATAGCATGGGCCAGCAGGTGGCATAATGGTTAAGGTACTAGACTCCCACATGGTCAACCATGGTTCAAGTCCTGGACCCAGAGGCTTGAAACTCACACTGGGTGCATATACGTGTGTGCCCAAAATCGTGAGAGGAAAATGGCACAGAAGGGATTGCAGTATGGCCATCCCCCTTGGGGAGTGACTTTTCACTTTCTGTCTCTCTGTCTCTCCGGCAAGAGCATCTACCCTATAGCAAAAAGTCTCACAATGAATAAATAAATAGGTAAATAAAATAGGGGCCAGAAGGTGGTGTAAGTCCCAGACCTGGTGGCTCACTTTACTTTCCCTCTCTCTCTCTGTCTTTCCAGTAAATTAAAGTAAAATAATAATAATGATAAATAAAATAAATCTTTAAGGAAAAAAAGAAAGAGCTGATTTGGGGTCAGTGGTGTGGTGGTTAAGGTGGCTGGGTCCCACATGACTGCTCGTGAAGTTTGAGTCCCAGACCCAGCACCTTGAAAATCACACCAGGGTGGGACCAGCAGATGGTGCTATGCTTTTGTTGCTGGACTCCCACATCACTAACTGCGGTTCAAGTCCTGGATCCGGAGGCTTAAAACTCACACTAAGTGCATGTGCGTGTGTGCCCAAAATCTTAAGAGGAGAATGGAGAAGAAGGGATTGCAGTGTGGCCATCTTCCTGGGGGGGTAATTTCTCACTTTCTGTCTCTCTGGCAAGCACATGCACCTTATAGCAAAAACCTCTCTTTAAGAAAAAGAAAAGAAAATCATTCTGAGTACATGCGTGTGCATGCCCAAAAATCACAAGAGGAGAATGGAGGAGAAGTGATTGTGGTATGGCCATCCTCCCCGGGGGGTGATTTCTCGCTTTCTCTCTCCTGCTCTCCTGGTGTGGTTGACAAGCAAACCCTGGGATGTAGGGAGGAAGAAAGTGGGCTTCCCGGGGGAGAAGACACTCACAGGCCCCAGACTGTAGAGTGAGGACCAAGACCAGGGGGCTGATGACCAGATGCAGGCAGTTGAGGGGCCGCTTCCAGTTCCGATCGTCCTTGTCTGGGTCCACGACGGGGACCGTGAGGAGCAGCAGGAACTCCACAGGAATCTGTCGAGGGGGAAAAGAACAGGCAGAATTGCAGAAGCCACAACCATGCAGGCCTCAGAAAGGCCAACAACCTGGCAAGGGACCAGCAGATGGCGTAATGGTTATGTCACTGGACTCCCATGTAGTTTTAAGCCACCACGGTTCGAGTCCCGGACCCAGTGGCTTAAAACTCATGCCAGGCACATGTGCGTGCATGCCCAAGATCCCAAGAGGAGAATGGAGAAGAAGGGAAAAAGAAAAAGAAACAAATGAAAAGAAGAAGAAGAAGAAGAAGAAGAAGAAGAAGAAGAAGAAGAAGAAGAAGAAGAAGAAGAAGAGAAGAAGAAGGAGAAGGAGAAGGAGAAGGAGAAGGAGAAGGAGAAGAAGAAGAAGAAGAAGAAGAAGAAGAACCTGGCAAAGCTGCTCCTGTTACATCCCAGTAGCTCTTGGTTCCAGCAGCACCGACTCACTTGGTTGTAAACCACCAAGACAGAGTGTTCTTACAGTTCTGGAGGGTGGAAGTCCCACCGCGAAGGCCTCTGTGCCTCTGGACGCTCGAGGCATACAGATAGAGTTTATCCTTGATACCCTAAAGGTCTCCAGTTAAACTCCAGGAGAAGCTCAGGAGGGCTGACTTCTGGCCTGGATCGTGGAAGGTGACTGCAGCTGTGCCCAGTGTCATCGAGCCCAGACACCTGCTCAGATCTAGACCCCGAGAGACACAGTGCCCAGGGAGACAGCGGCAGATCAAATTCAATCTTGTTCTCCTTTTTTGGTTTTTAGATTTTTGCCATAGGGCGCATGTGCTTGCCAGAGGGACAGGAAGAGACAGTGAGGGAAAGTGAGAAATCATACCCCAGGGGAATGGCTACACCGCAATCCTTTCCCCTCCATTCAGGATTCTGGGCACACAAACACAGGTACCTGGTATTTTTCAAGTCACTGGCTCTGGGACTCGAACTGTGTAGTTAGTCGTGTGAGATCCAGTGGCTTCACTACCACGCCACCTTCTGGTTCCATTTTGATCTTCTTATAACTCTTTTTTTTTAGAGATTTTTGCCATAGGGCACATGTACTTGCCAGAGAGACAGAGACAGACAGAAAGTGGGAAATCATGCCCCACCCCGGGGAGCGAGGCTGGCCAAGCTGCAATCTCTTTTCCTCCATTCTCCTCTTGGGATCTTGGGCACCCACACATGCACACCTGGCATGAGTTTCAAGCCTTCCGGTCTGGGACTCGAACCATGGTAGGTCACGTGGGAGTCAGTGATGTAACGATTACGCCATCTGCTGGTCCTCTCTTAATTCATTTGACCACTCCTGCACACCAGCCCTAGTTCTGCCCCGGTGCTGTCTCTGTCCTCCTTCCTCCACAGAGGGCAGGGCCCCAGGTCAGACCATCAGTCAAACTCTATGACTCGGTTTCCCTGTCATGTCCCAAGTCGTCAATCCTGAGAGGGTCTCAGCAGATAAGGGTCCCTTTCCCCACAAGGCTGGAGAGGTGGGAATGGCTACCCTCCTCTGCTGCCGTGAATCGAACAGCCCGACTCCAGGGTGCTCCTGTCCTACCTTGAACACCTTGAGGGCCCTCCAGTACACAGACTTGTTTCTCCACTTCCTGTAGTCCAGGGGGTTCAAGGCCCGGACCAGGATCTGAACTGTGGTCTCCTGGTAGAAGAGCAGCGGCCGGTACTCGTCGCCTGTGTTGGGGTGGAGAGCAGGGAGGTGCGGCCATGGCTGGCTCAGTCTCCAGGAAACCGTCCCCACCTCTACCCCATCCTCCCACTCCTCAGGAAGGAAGAAAAACCCAGGGCTGGCAGAGGGCAGATGTGGACCTCGCTCACAGCACAGGTGAGGTGGGGCGGCATGGAGCCTTCCTCCTGGGACCCAGGCCCTGGCAGGCCCCCAGCCCTGCCCCAGCACCCGCCCCACTGGGCACGGGGCACCGACTCACCGTAGTCGTAGCTGTTGGTGTTGGAAGACACCACGTCATCCTCGGCATCAGAAAGCAGCTCTGCAGGACAGGGTGTGTTAACACCAGCCGAGCCACGGGCCCGGCCCGCCTGCCCCAGGAGGTGGCCTCTGGGACCCACCCCTGGAGTCCGGCTCTGTCCCCTCTGGCCAGGGGAGGAATTGATGTCTCTGAGTCTCTTTCCTCATCCAGAAAAGGGGGCAGTACCGACCCTCCCTGGAGATGTGACTGAGAGGAAGAACACGCATGTGCCCCCAGCTAGTGCACACGCACTGATGGGTGTGTGTGTGTGTGCATGTACAAGGGCGCACTGCATACATAGTTGTGAGTGTGTGAGTACAGGGGTACGCTGTGTACATAACTGAGTGTGTGTTATATATAGGGGTATATTGTGTACGTAGTTGTGTGTGTGTGTGTTGTGTACAGGGGTGCATTGTGTATGGACTTGTGTGTGTTTACAGGGGTGCACTGTGTATGTAGTTGTGTGTGTGTTGTGTACAGGAGTACATTGTGTATTTAGTTGTGTATGTGTGTATTGTGTATGTGTGTTTATACAGGGGTGCATTGTGTATGTAGTTGTTTGTGTGTTATGTATAGGGGTATATTGTGTATGCAGCTGTGTATGTGTGTTTATACAGGGGTGCCTTGTGTATGTAGTTGTTTGTGTGTTATGTATAGGGGTATATTGTGTATGTATATGTGTGTGTGTTGTGTACAGGGGTGCATTGTGTATGGAATTATGTGTGTGCATGCACAGGAATCCATTGCATATGTAGTTGTGTGTGTGTTATGTATAGGGATGCATTGTATATGTAGTTGTGTGTGTGTATTGTGTACAGGGATGCATTGTGTATGGAATTCTGCGTGTGTGTTTACAGGGGTGCATTGTGTATGTAGTTGTGTGTGTATTAAGTATAGGGGTGCAATGTGTATGCAGTTGTATGTGTTGTGTATGTGTGTTTATACAGGGGTGCATTGTGTATGCAGTTGTGTGCGTGTGTACAAAGGTGCACTGTGTATACATTATGTGTGTGTACAGGGATATATTATGCACATACTTGTGTGTGTGTTGTTGGGACCACAATGACAGCAGTGGCCTCAAGAGACGGAGCCATCAATGAGGTGACAGATTTCTCCAGGACGGACGCAGATCTCACCTGGGGTGCCCGGCGTGGAGCAGACCCGGGACATCCTCCGTCTCCAGCGGTAGAGCCAGGTGCAGAGGACCACGGTGAGCACATAGAACACGTACAGCCCCAGGGAGCCTGCAGACAGAGGCCATGCCGTCACCAGCTGGCATCCTGGCTGTAGGGCCCAGGGAACGAGGGCTGGCGGCGGCACTGGGGCGCATGGCAGGAAGCTCCCAGAGTCGGCCTGGCCTAGCACCAGCAGGTAAGGGGCAGTGCCTTGAGCCCTCCACTCCCTCCTGCTCCCACGGCCGCCTTCCCTTCCTGCCTCCCTGCAATCCATCCATCAGGGAAGCCTGGCCTGGCACAGAGGGCGACCTCCTTCACGTGCTAGGGGCCGGGGTCCTGCTCAGAGCCCCGCAGACCCAGTCACCCAAGTGCACAACTGGGGTCAGCCAATGGGCGGCGGACAGGGCTCGGAGGGTCGCAGGAAGGCCTACAACTCCACAGCTGGGGCTCAGGCTGGGCGGCACCTGCTCCGGGCCTCCAGCCCTCACTGGGCTGCGGCCATGGGGACAGGGTGGTAACTGTCCCACTGCTGCTGGCCCCTGGGTGTCCCCACCTCCAAGCTCCACATTGCTTTTAGCAACCCTCAGTATACATAGCCCCTCATTGGCGTCTCTGAAAATCAGCCTGAAAGGACTGAGTTTGCTCGGCGCCCTGGCTGGCACTTGGTCAAACCGGGAATGGAGAATTTCCAACATGCCCTGGCTCCACTCTGCATCCCTGGAGTCAGGTCTGCCCCCTGCTGGTTGCCCCTGGCCTTCCTCGGGTCCAGGCACTTTCTGAGGCTCCCGCCCATCAGCCCTGGGCACGCGGGCAACTCACCCAGGGCCCAGGCCAGCGTGACTCTGCCGAGGTAGAGCGCGGTGAAGGTCAGGAACACGGCCCCCATGTAGAAGATGATGTCCCTGAGGAAGGGCCTGGAGGCGGCCGTGAAGGGATGCAGGATGGCGATGCCTCCGGCCACCACAGTGGTGACCAGCACACCCGCACCTGGGGAGACACACGGGGGCTCAGCCGCCCTGCACCTCTCCTGCTGCCGCCAGCACCCACTGGGGCCACTCTCACCAAACAGCGCCCCAAAGGCCAGGCTGGCTGTACGCGGGTCCGAGAAGGCCACCAGGGCGCTGAAGATGTCGGGTGCGCCATTTCCAAACGCCAGGAAGGTGACACCATGGGAGCCGCATGTCAAGGAAGGATCAGTCCAATGCCACAGCCCGCCAGGGTCTTTCCAGGGCTGTGAGCCACCACCTTGCCCCCTGGAGACGGCCCTCCCTCCTGCCGGTGTGGGACTGTGGACAAAGGATACTGCCACATTGTGGGACAGCTTGAGCGTGATGGAAATGGCCGAGAGGTTAGGGCAGAAGCTGCAGAGAAGGCGCAAACAGTAAGCGTGTCCACGGCGATGGCCCCAAACTCGGGTCACCACCCAAGTCCAGCCTACCGGGACTGCTTCCCCATCTCCAAGCTGGGCGAAAGCCCAAGGCCAAACTCACAACTTGGCTGCCGTGACGCCCAGAATCAGGAACAGGTAAAGTAGCCAGAAGACCTGGGTGGGGAGCCAGGGAGGGAAGGAGCGGTCAGTCCCGCCGGGGCACCAGCCCCTGTCCCCGTGTCCCCAAGGCAGGGCCTCACATAAAGGATGATGGCCAGAGGGAGGAGGCCGGGAGAGAAGTGGCAGAAGACGCCCTCGAGGTAGTCCAGGTAGCCTCCTTCGTTGTGGCAGTCGGGGTTGGTCTGGATGAAGCTGCAGCGGTCAGAGACATTCAGGCCACACACATCGCGACACTGCAGGAGGGAGGCACGGGGACCTCAGAGCCTGTAGGGCTTGGCCAGGCCATCTAAGCAGTTGGCATAACCTCCCTTCAGCCTGGTCTCCAGTGCACCCACTGCTTTTTACTTAAAAAAAATAAATAAATAAATAAACTTGGGACCAGTAAATGGTGTAACGGTTATGTCGCTGGACTCCCACATGGTCGACCGCGGTTTGTGTCCCGGACCCGGTGGCTTAAAACTCATGCCGAGTGCATGTGCATACGTGCCCAAGATCCTGAGAGGAGAATGGAGGAGAAGGGATTATGGCGTGGCCATCCCCCCTGGGGGGTGATTTCTCGCTTTCTATCTCTCTGGCGAGCACACAGGCCCTACAGCCAAAATCTCTCTCTAAAAAAATAATAATACAAATAAATAAATAAACTTGTGTGGGACCAGCCCGTGGCCTGGTGGGTAAGCTTGCAGAATCCGACATGGCCAACCATGTCCCAGATCCAAACCCAGCAGTTTCAAAATGCACAGGTGAGGGGCCAACAGGTGGCATGATGGTTAGGGGCGCTGGATTCCTATAGGGTTGACTGTGGTTTGAGGCCCGGACCTGGTGGCTTGCTATCTTACTTTCCCTCTCTCTCTGCCCTTCTCTTGTCAAATTAAAAATAAATAAATAAATACATAAAATTAAACAAAATAATTCTTAAACACACACACACACACACACACACACACACACACACACACACAGGACCAGAAGATGGCATAGCGATTATGTCGCTGGACTCCCACATGGCTGATCGTGGTTCAAATCATAGGCCTGAAGGCTTGAAACACATGCCAGGCATGTGTGCATGCATGCCCAAAATCCTGAGAGGAGAATGGAGGAGAAGGGACTGCGGTGTGGACACCCCTGGGAGGTGATTTCTCTCTTTCTGTCTCTGTCTCTCTGGCAAGTGCACGTTCCCGTAGATAAAAAAAAAAAAAAAACTCTCTGAAAAAATAAAATAAAATAAACACCAAGCACGTGTGCATGCTCAAAATCCCACAAGGTGGGAAAGATGAAGCAAAAAGGATTTGGGGGTGACCATCCTCACTCAGGATGCTGTCTGTTTTATCTCTGTCTCTCTCTGGTGAGTGCACACACCCTCTGCCAAATTAAAAATAATAATCATAGAGGCCAGCAGAATGGTTAAAGCACTGGACTCCCACATGGCTGACTGTGGTTCCAGTCCTGAACCTGGCGGCTTGAAACTCACGCCAGGCACAGGTGCGTGCATGGCCAAAATCCTGGGAGAAGAATGGAGGAGAAGGGATTGTAACATGGCCATCCTCCCTGGGGGGTGATTCCTCACTTTCCTTCTCACTGTCTCTCTCCTCTCCAGTAAGCCCATGCACCCTATAGCAAAAACCTAAGTAGTAATAATAAACTTGTGTTTGAGGGGCCAGATGGTGACGTGGAATAACACAACTGGAATCACATGAGAAATTCCTGGGATTGGATCCGGGGCCCCTCCTGGACACAGCAGGTGGGCATGGACACCTGTGAGACAGGCTAGCTGAGGATGGGGGTGGATCATGGTGTGAAGGCCCTGTTGAGGGGGCCCGCTCTCTCTTTCATGGAAGAAATAAATAAATTTTTTTTTTTTTTTTTGGAGAGGTTTTTGCTATAGGGTGCGTTCACTCGCCAGAAAGACAGAGACAGAGAGACAGAAAGCGAGAAATCACCCCCCAGGGGGATGGCCACGCCGCAATCCCTTCTCCTCCATTCTCCTCTCAGGATCTTGGGCACGCACGCACACGCACCCAGCATGAGTTTAAGCCTCTGGGTCCAGGACTCAAACCACGGTTGACTACGTGGGAGTCCAGCGACATAGCCATTACGCTAACTGCTGGTCCCAGAAATAAACTTTTAAAAATAAAGAAAGAAAAATAAACCTGTGTTTGAAATGAACAGAAGTAATGCATGTTTGTTTCAAAACCCAAAAAATTCAAATACTATACAAAGATGTCTAAACTCCTCTTTCCATTCCTGCCCTTCATACTCGTCTCAACCATGATCAGTCTGGAGCGCATCCTTACGCTTCTCGGTCAAGTTACATTTGCTTATACACCCCGCTACTCAGTTCGTTACAAAAATGTGCCCATCCTAACCTCTTATTCCTGCAACTTGCTTTTACCACTGAACATGAACACACATTGGTACACACCATAAAGTGAAAATGTAATGAGCGATTTCTCTACGCCAGGAACAGCGCTCAGAGCTTAAACCATTTCTCAGTTAGGGCGAGCAGCTGGTATGGTGGTTAAGGTGCTGGGTTCCCACATGGCCGACTGAATTTAGCATCCTGGACCCAGCAGCTTTAAAATGACACTGGGCACATGTACGGAGGAGAGGGGACTGCAGTGTGGCCATGCCCCCAGAGGGTTATCCTTCATATTCCCTCTCTCTCTGTCTCTCTCCTGTGAGCACGCGCACCCTATGGCAAAAACCTAAAAAAAAAAAAAAAAACTCAATTAATCCGCACAACATCCTGACAGGTGATCAG